CTTACAACGAAACCACATAAATGTGAAATTATTATTGATAACATGCATCTCCTCGTAAAGTAAGTATTATTTTATTTTGCGATTTACACCAATGGATAGGCAATTTATTAATGAACATTTCTATAGTAAATTTTTTTTCAAAAGACCAATATTTGATTTTATTAAGAAATTATTTTAAAATCTGGGCATATTTACTGCTCACGGGCTTGTTGAAGTCAGTGAGCGCTGAGCTCTTCGACGTGAAGCCCGTGTCGTTAGAGCGTCGACCAACGCATACGCCACGTCATATGAGTCGATAATATTATTACTTATTAGGTTATTTATAGGTAGTATTATTTGTTTGTTTTGGGTATAATTTTTCGTATTAGTTATACATATATTTGTTGTGCTTTTTACTGCGCGATGAAGCTTTTTGCGTGTATTTTCTTTGAAGTAAATGCAAATAAAAAAATGAAGCACCATTAGCATGTAAGGTTCGAATCCATAATTAAAATTTCGACAAATATTATAATTTACACTATAAAAGGCTAATTCAATATTATCACCCAACCACAATATCTTATCAGGTATAGTGCTGCCTCGTTGGTCTAGTGGTTGTAGTAGTGCGACTGCTGATCATGAGGTCCCGGGTTCGAATCCTGGGTCGGGCCAAAAAGTCAGTTATGAGTTTTTCATTTATGTTCTAAGTTATAATTAGTATTACTAAGTTATAGTTTATTGCTAAAATATAGTATATTATTTATTGCTTGTTTTTTCTTCTTTTTCAAAAAATAATTGAGTACATAAGGTGTTCTATACTTATAATTCGGTAAAAAGTATCTAAGTAGGTACTAATATACCTACTTTTTACTATTAACTAAAAATTTTTAAAACTAAATTTAACTAAAAAGACTAAACTGACCATTTATTTTTTAACTCATAACAGGACATGGGTTTATTTATACTCTAAAAACTATAACTTTATACAATTAGTGTTCACTATAAAATTATATTCGGTATAGACGGTAATTATTAAATGCAACATATTTTTTTTAATTATTAATTACATTTGTCAGTGGATTAAATTTGCTTTAATAAAGTTGGTGATGATTTTAAATAAGAATAAAATTCTGCTCAAGTTTTTTATTGTTATCTTTGTTAACAACATCGCTTTTAGAACTCTGGAACCGTAAGTGTTTCTTTCAGACGTCCACAATTTATGCAAAATAAAAAAAATACTCTTTCTACCGGAGCATTCGTACCAGGTAGACATAAAATATATTCGATTAAAAAAAACTATGTTGAAGATTGTTGACTTTGAATACTTCCATCCAACGAGTTACGGGACAATTTTGTGTCCCGGAGCTTTGTTTGGGGACAATGGGACAGGAGACCGAGAAAAGGGACAGTCCCGTTCAAAACGGGACGTATAGTCACTTTAGCTATAACCCGGCGACCATGAAGCAAATACAAAGTTAGTTTTTGTATTAGCTTCATGGTGGCGCAGTGGCTTAGCAATCAGTTGTTGCGCTGGGGGCCGCGGGTTCGAATCCCGCATGGAACAAGTATTTGTATGGCCTACAAATAATTGTTCCGGGTCTGGATGTTTGTCTTTGTGCAATATTTATGTTTGTAAACTGCCTCCACGACACAGGAGAAAATCCTAGTGTGGGGGTAACGTTTTTTTACAACTGAAATTGAAAGATTGAACCCTTATACTTCTTGTTGATTTTTGTATTACCTTTATTAAAGTTATCCTTATGTATAAATAAATATAATTACGTATGTAGAAATAAAATTGATTTTCATCCTCATCAATCATTGGGGTGAGGATAATATCTGCTAGCATAAGTAATAAGCAGGCTAAGTTACAAGGTGCTCAGTTCAAAAATTAGTAGGTAACTTTTCAATACGTGACACGTAAAAATTAACAATAATCAAAAACACATATGCGAAACATCCTATTTATTTATTTATTTTTTATTGCACCAAATATTTGTACAAAAGCCGAGCTATCTATTTATTTACCTATAGTGAATAGGTATCTTTTAAACTCACAATTTTCAATGCTTCAGTTTTAATATATAATTAATTATAAAATTTCATAATTAGATAATATATGAAAATACATAATTCTAATATAATGCAACTAATATATACAGAATAAAAAAATCAAAATACATTTATCTTTGTACGCTATGTGTATTTCCATAAAATAGTTTATTGATGTTGAAAAAATAATACTACTTTCGTACAATAGGTGGCGTCTTACATATTTCTTCCGGCGAGCCGCTCGCTACAGCTACGCTTAGGTCAAATGCTCAAGGTCGTTCGCATGGAGTAGCCCCTTAAGTGTTCCAATTCTTAATGTTAAAATAAATTTCGTCCACTCACCAACAGATGGCGCCACGTGTTTTGTAGCTAAAAATAAGCCGTATGTTATTATTGATTTTTTATATAGTAGAAAACGGTTTCTATAGTTTGTTTTAACTTTTTCATGTAGCGTTAACGTTTTTTTTATAAGTCTACACGGAGCGCTAAATATTTTGCACCACAACAGTATCTTACTAGAAAAATATTTTATATCATAAGCAAAGTTTACGGAAAAAGTGATTATAAGTAATGTGGTTTATACCTGGAATACGCACTAAGTGTAAACATAACATACTATATTTTAGAGATTAGTTTTGTGTTACTAATAAATTTACTATGGAAAATTTTAATTTTATTTAAACTGGGAGTCGCTTGTAATTTTCAATCTTTTATTAGTGATCGAAGATTTTAATGTGTTCTATAATATATAATGTATATGACAGCCTAGTGATTAGGACACCTATTTACTATGATGCGGTTTGTGGATTCGAATCCCAACGGGTGACAACATGTGTAAAAAAACACGTGTGTTGGATTTCGGGTCTGGCTTATTTGCGATAATGCCTGCGGTGTTTTGGTTTCTGCATTGTAGCCTACTTCTGATTTTGTCGTGTATGCATTCACTCGGGCACGGGCAGTGGCGTAGTAAGGTGGGGTATGCTTGTGGAACATTGGCCCAGGGTAACAAATTTCAGGGAGCAGCAGATTTCAGAGGGTAGCAGAGGTATATTGGGACAGAAAAGTCAGCTGAAAGTTCGTATTGCCGGCGCCTGTCGGTGTCAGTTAGTGGTGTCGAACGCCATGAACAGTAAAAAAAGGAATTAGACATGCTTTAAGTAGGAAACGCTCGAAAATTGTTTTTCATATGAATATGATATAAAAATATATTTTGTATTATATATTTTTCATAGATGTATAAATTTACATACCGTAGAGCAGAGTTAAAAACATATTTGTAGAGCTCCACTACCGGATACATGCCAATGCTCTGGTCGTAATAACGAACGGCGACGTCACCTTAATGTGGAGGAGCAAAGCCCCGGAACGATTTTCCGGCGCCACAAAGGCGCTAGAGGACAGAGACGCTAAAGCTACAGTAGCCTTAGGCAGAGGCGGACCGCGAATTCAAAAAGTCACGGATTCGATTCCGCCATTCGATTTCGGTGGTGAATCACATCTAACAACAACATTATAAGTTTACCTGGAGTGGTTACCGGGATTTTTAGTGGCATATTCAATAATTGAAATAGGACACGTTGTAGAGCTTTACGTGGTAGAGCCATGCTGCAGCTATATTGTGGATGCAGCACGAATGGGTCAGCTCGACTGGTGTAGGATCACGCTCTCACAGAATATCAGCGTAAAATAGCAGCTTAACGCTGCTGTGTTTCGTGTGGTGAGTGTAGAGAACCGGAGACCCTTTTTACTGGCAACGAGACATTCCATCTCAGTCCTCAGGGGTGACAACGCATCTGTGGGTCACAGTATCGTATTATATAATATATATTATATTTCGGGACGGATAGTTTAGAACAATTCAGTGAATTGTGTTTGGGCCTACTTATTTATTATCATCATGCACTGTTATGTGTACTTGTGTCTCTATAATCTTTCCTGTTAAGTTAACAGCTTCCGACAAATTTCCAAAAAATGAGAGAGTTTAAACGCATTAACGAAATTAATTGTCTTACTCGGAAATCTGTCAGATTTATCTGTCGGAATAATTTTATAAGATGTTAAATTATCCTTGTAAGATTGATGTTTATTGTGGTTTCTAATTATATTTGAATGAATAAGAAGTAAGAGGCAAGAGAGAGGGAGAAACAAATTAGGAGATGCGCAGCAGCTTCTTCCTAATAACGATTAAAAATAAAAACAAAAACTGTCGCGGTCGCCACCCCGCTTGCCAAGCTTGGCAACTGTGGCAAATATACCCCCTATGAAGCAATGAAAAAAATCTATGTGGGAGGCCTATCTATGTTCAGTAGTGAACTAACAGTGGTAGAGCCACGCGGCAGCTTTTGCAGTCGCACGGATGGGCTGGCTCGAACCGGGGTAGTACCACGACCTCACAGAAAACCAGCGTGAAGTAGAGGTTTACCTCTGCGTTTCGTTTGGTGAGTGCAGGTGGCCGGAGGCCTTTTTTACTGGAAATGAGGCATTCCATCTTAGTTCTCACGGGTGACAACGCATCTACATTTTGATTTGTAACAGAGGATAGATGTAGATGTCTATGGGCAGCAGCAACCACTTACCATCAGGTGGACTGTGTGCTCGTTTGTCACCCTTATCCTATAAAAAAAAACTTTTATAGGGTGTAACTGAATACATTAAAAGTTAAAGAATATTTCCTTTAGAAGCTTTTTTAAGTTTATTTTATTTGCTTCAATTTGTATAGTTTTCGTGTGTTTGTTGACCGAAAAAGTCGAATAAACGAAAGCTCTCAAAACATCTATTATCGATATTTGATTTAGACGTAATAATACTAATTCGGGTGTGGGATTAGAAAACACGACTGAGTGGGCTGTATCGTTATTAAACAAGCTAACGGGCTCTCCCGTTGCGACATCCCAACAAACCAATAAGAAAAATAGACCCATAGACCTTTGAGCTTTTATGCTGAGGGATACACCGCCCCGCGCGACCTCAGTTCAGAGCTGGCGTTCGTTGCGGTCGCTTGTGTGAGAATTACTTTTCTGGGCAACCTTGAATGTGCTCTCGTTAAGTCATCTCGCTGCTTTATAGGGGAGGAATCTAGATGAAATGATTTAATTGGTAAAACTTAAAGCTGTGTGTGTATGTGAAAACTTGTTGCATATGTGTTGTTAGAATTCGAATTGAAGGGATATTTTGGACGTTTAATGTTGACTTATAAAACTTACCTCAGGTGGGTTTATGAAAAGTGAAATAGTTTTTGAACAGGTATGTCGCACGTCAGATAATTATTTGCTTCATTGATAACTTTTTTTTCTTTACGAATAAAAAGTAATCTATTTTCATTCGATTTCTTTTTCTGTTTAAATCAGTTGTAAATTGTAACAGAATTAAAATATTGTTACATCAATTAATACATTTCTATTAACGTGTAAGTTATTGTATTTAATTGCGTAAGTTGTGAATTTTTGCAGATATGGTTATAAAAGAAAAATATCAAATATTGTATTACGTACAAATTATTTATCATTTTTTGAGTGAAAATGATACAGTTGAATTCAGATAATAATAATAAAACGATTGAAATTATTTATGATTACATTTTTTTATTAATTACAGAATTTTTTATTCTGTATAAACTATAAGTAATTCATATTGAAAGTAATTTTTTTTTAATTTTACCACTGGTTCGGATAAAAACACTTGTATTGGAAAGAACCAGCAAGAAAACCGGCGGGACTTTTTTTTGCAAGGCAACACTACACAAAAAAACTATTTAATTATTTTATGCCGCTACTAAAGGGCACTTTACACAATTAAAAAAAAGTTAAGACTAAATAATTTTCGTAAAATAAATCTTAAATTTTAATTTCATTCAAGTTTTTTTGAGTAAATTATATACCTATTCGCTTGAAATTGTCATTACCTATGGAAATATTTCATTTTCAATTTCTCGTAGCGGTGAATTTCTGAATTCGAACAATAACGGCTCGCGGCCATTCATTTCCATTACCGATCGCTTCAAATTGAAGCTTATTTAATATTCAATGAGTTTGTAGCGACTGTAGGAGTTTACAAGAACCTAAAATATTTATTTAATGTTAAGAGAAATTTAGAGAATTTCCATTAGAAACCAATTCTGGCTTGTTTATTACGCTTACGCCCTTGCCTACAAAATCACCGTTTTACATAAATAATTCGAACAGTTTCAAAGCTAAATTATTTGTTTAAAAGATAAAATGTCGGATATTATACCTAATGTACTTTAATCAATTAAATATTTAGTGTAAATTCATTGATATCTCTGCTATAAAACCTGTTGTGATAGGTATCGCTCAATTTTTTAAGTCCCTTTATAAGATATTGTTCAAAAAACTCTAACCAATAAGGAAAGATGGACGGAGTGCTGCGTAGGTAAATGTCAAATAACTCCAAAATCAACATATAGCAGCACATATCTTTCTTTATTCTTTTTTTAACAACTGCAAAAGTCAACCGCTGGATGTACATAATATGTATTTAAACCATGATGTTAGTTGCAATTTCAGAGGCATATGTATGGGAGAGTGCGTGTTCTTACAAGTTGATCATAGTTTTGGCTAGTTTTCGGCGTCACTTGAAATGTAGGTACAGCACTCTATCTTTCTTTGTTGGTTTAGTTATTGAAACAAAATAATATAGGCAAGGTCTGGTTTGATTTTTGAAACAAAATATTAAAAATAATATAGGCAAGGTCCTGCGAGTACAGAGGATGACGTTGCTTCCAATAGAAGCTCTTTTAATTTTGAAACCATCTGTTGTACAGTGACATTATAACACTTTTTGATTTGACACTTTGACGTGGTAGAGCCATGCTGCAACTGTATTACTGGTATAGTTGTAGCACGAATGGGCCGCCTCGACCGGGAACGGACCACGCTCTCACAGAATACTAGCGTAAAATAGCAGTTTAACACTGCTGTGCTTCGTATGGTGAGTGTAGAGAACCGGAGACCCTTTTTACTGGAAACGAGGCATTTCATCTTAGTCCTCACGGGTGACAACGCTTCTGATTCGTATTCGACGATAGATGTAGATTTCTATGGGCTACAGCAACTACTTATCATCAGGTGCACTGTGTGTTCGTTTGTCATCCTTATTTTATAAAAAAATATCACAGTATAATCGTACGTCTTTTTATACGTAATCTTTACCTCTTTTAAGTATGCCATAACATACCTGCCATACTCAGCTATTACACAGTCTTATGGGCTGGCAGGCTTCAGCACGAATGTGTTGGTTCGACCAGGAAAGGACCAAGCTCGCATGGAATGCAGCTGTATAGTGATAGTGTTCTTGGTATGGTTAGTTAGTGTAGCCCTACGGGGTAAAATAAAGCATGGATACTCTTTTTTACGTGGTAGAGCCGTGCTGAAACTATATTATGACTCGACTAGATAAAGACCATGCACTCACAGAATACTAGCATGAAATAACTGCTTAATAGTGAGTAACATCCGGAGACCTGTTTTACTGGAAACGAGGCATACCATCTTAGTCCTCAGGAGTGATAACGCATATTATGATGATGTCTATGGACTCCAGAATCCAATTACCATAAGTTAAACTGTGTGCTCGTTTGTCACCTTTATTCTATAAAAAAACCGTTTAATGGTAATATGCTATTTCACCCTAGTCCTCAGAGTGATAACGTGTCAGATGTAGGTGCGTAAATCGAACCAAAAATTAATATTAAAAAACTGACGGTAGCCGGGCTAACTATAACATCGGGACGTCAAACACCTCAGTCCCCCCCGTGACCATGGGTGCTGTTAAGCACTCGAAACGTCGGGAATTAAAAAAGTTAAGATTAAACGCGTCATAATCCGTAAAAATTAGTTTCATTTAAGATTTCAGAGAAGGTGATGTTTCACTTCCGTTTGGATGGACTGTTCATACATCACCCTTATAGCAAAAAAACCTAAATGAAAACTGTAATGTATGATAAATCGTTCCGCGTAAGTGGAGGGAGCTAAATCACGTCCCACACGAAAATAATTAAAAAAAACTTTTTGTGACTTTATAGTGAATTGATGTTGCCGATAAAATTATGCATTACTACTTCTTGAGATCTGGGACAACGATAACTGTTAAGCTTTTTTTCTATTTCATCGACCTACACAATCCAGTTCGGTTCCATAATTTGTGTGCCAATTTGTTAAATTTTACAAGCTTCTCTACTATCGTCCTTCAGTGAATTCGTATTGTAATTTGACATAAATAAATCAAAAAAGCTTTTACGTTGGAGAGTGGAGCTAACTTTGGCGTGGAATGAGATGCTTTCGCTTCCTTTACTGTATAACTTTTAACTCGTTTTTCCTTGCAAATGACATTTGAATATTTTCAAATTATTTCATCGTCACGACGCATTATTTCATTTTTCACGTTATTCTCGCCGATATAAAAAATAAAACAACTATTTTTTTCAAGAACAATTTTAATACGTAATTAAACTTTTAATAAAAAGTAAAATCGATTTGCCACATAATATTTTTAAAGTTGGTACTTCGACATAGTGTATCGGAGAATTACTAGTAAAGCCCCGACTTCAGAAGCTATTATGTAGTTTCTGGTGCAATTATTTAGCATGAGTAATAGTGCCGACTGAGGTTCGAATCGAGTCCATGAAGATTAATTCAAAACCAGCAACAGTTATGTTTTAAACGTAAAATAATCACCATTTTATACGTGATAGAGCCATGCTGCAGCTATATTAGTAGTACAGTTGTAATACGAATCGGTCGGCTCGACCGGGGAAAGACCCACAGAATACCAACGTAAAATAGCAGCTTAACACTGCTGTGTTTCTTATGGTGAGAGAAGAGAACCGGAGATCAACAACGCATCTGCATTTTGATTCGCAAACGAGGATAATTATTAAAAATGGATAAATGTAGATGTCTATGGGCCACAGCAACCACTTACCATCAGGTGGACTGTGTGCTCGTTTGTCACCAAATCCTATAAAAAAATTCGTATGTAAACGTAGAAGCTATTATGTAGTTTTTTTGTTGTTATTAAAGTCGGTTTTACTTTTTTATTATTTTACCCTACTGAGTCTAAGGAACATCAAAAGTTCAAGGTAAAAACAATAATGTCGTTTAAATTCAAATTAATATTTATTTATTTATTAACATTCCTATCTTACCTTATTTTCCCCACGTTTGGGATAGAATGTTATATTTAAAAGTATATGGGACCACCCTTAAAGTTAAAGCTTTATATGTAGATAATAAGAAAATAAACATTTAAATCGGTTGGGTTGTTTCCGAGAAATTGGTGAACATATAATAAAAATAATACGCTTCGAATATAGTAACTCCTGAAGAATTTCTTAAATTAGGTTTTCTTTTAAAAATTCACATTAATTTGAATTTGGAATTCCAATTCGAATAAATAAGATAATACTAGAAAACGGATATTTAATACATAAAAAGCTAATATTAGAAAGTATTTCAGTTACCATATTTAAGTTTAATAATGACGAGAAGTCTACTCAACCCGTTAAATTAAATTATTCTAAATGCTACTTGAACTGGAATTTAATATGGCGTCAGATAGTAAAAGATAGCGTCGTATGTATTCGTACGTCTCACGATCTGTACAGGAAATACATACCGACCAGTTTTTACCGAGAAAAGAAAACTGTCGCACTTTACGATCATTAAATTTTCATTAACCATAAATACACAAGTAATTTCATAAGTTGCCTTATCCATTTTTGTAAAAGTAATAAAAATCAATTTATGGCGCTTCACTGACGTAATATTATAGGAAAAATATAGAGGGATATGAGACCAAAGAGGAACTGTCATCAATCTTCTTCATGCCGTGGATTATGAGCGCTACGCAATTAAAGGAAGGATTGAACGTAAGGAAGTATCAAAGGAAAATCGCATATTTACTTGCTACTAAAAAGGTGATATGTTCTTACTAAATTAAAATTTAAAGCTTGTACGTGGTAGAGCCATGCTGCAGCTATATTGGTGGTATAGTTGTAGCACGAATGGGTGTGCTCAATCGGGGAAGTACCACACTTTCAAAGAATACCAGCTTAAAATAGCAGCTTAATGCTGCTGTGTTTCGTATGGTGACCGTAGAGAACCAGAGACCCTTTTTACCGGAAAAGAGGCATTCTATCTTAGTCCTCACGGCCGACAAAACATCTGCATTTTAATTCGCAAACGAAGATAGATGTAGATGTCTATGGGCCACAGCAACTGTACTGT